TGCTATATTTATTTTTTATTATTTAAATAACTGTCATCAAATTTAATAATATTTATTTAAAATATTCCTTCTATTCTAGAGTTACATTAAATCTATTAATATCTATTAATTTATCTGATAATATTTAATTAAAACATTTTTTTATACTACATATACAATTAAGTAATTATAATGAAAGATAAACAAAGAAAGCTTTTGGAAATTATAGAAACATTAAAGAAGAGGTTATAGAAACATTAAGAAATTGAAAATGATATTTTGAAAATTATTTTATTAAATGTTTTATTAAATTATTTTATTAAATTGTTATTCATCTAATTACATATGTATTTATTTATTTTTATGATAATATTATTAATTATTTTATAAAAATATTCAAAAATATTGTTGGAAATATGGATTGAAGATGATATGCAACAAATTTTCTTCATATTTTTTTTCAGTGAATATTTTTAGATTCTTCATTATAATTTTTTAATTATAATTAATATATAATTTAATATATATTAATATTAATATATAATTTATAGTATATATTATAATAATAAAAAATGTTTCAAATAAATATTATTATATTCAATGTCAGTTATTTAACAATAAAAAGTTGATATGCCATTCCAATTAAAGAAATAAAAAAATAGATTTTTCAAGCTATAAGAAATTCCTCCAAAAATTTGTTATATTTTAAATAATTAACTTTCATGAGCTATTTAATTTTTAAAAAAAGTCATATTTGCTACACTTTTGTTAAAACAATTTATGATTTATATCATATATTATAATAATAATATTCAGAATATTTATATTTGTAAGAAATGAAATTTTAAATTTAGATAATTTAATTATTATTACTATTTTATAATTAAATTACATAAATCTTTTTAATTTAATATTTGAAAAGTGGCGAAATAATTTATTAGAACTTTATATAAAAATTTATATAAAAATTTTTTACGAAAATTATAATATTTTTTATTTTGAAAATGTGTTTAGTTATTTTTTAAATAGATATTATTTTAATTTTTCGAAATAGAAATAGAAAGTAATACATTCATTTTCAATTAAATAAAATATAATGAATATAATGATATATATTATAATATATTATCAAATCACATTGAAATAACCTTAATTAATGAAATTTTATGAATAATGAAAATGAATATAAAAATAAAATTTATATATATATATATATATATAATCTTGTTATTTCTTGCATAATATCGGAAACAAAATAATAATATACCTAACGAACTATCAATAATCTTTAATGAATTAAATTGAAATGTGTTGCAAAATATTCGTTGTACGTTGTTCGTTATAAGGTTATATATAATTCAAATCGTTATATTCTTTGATATTATAATAAATGAACTTTATAAATTTCTAAATGTTTATTATGAAATTATGGAAGTTCATTTATAAAAAATTTTTTATGAATTATTCTATATATTAACATTCTAAAATACAATTATGTGCATATCTGATTTAATCCTTTGATGATGAAAGAAATTTAAATTGTATAAGCATGTATAAGCATGATGCATGCAAAGTTTTATAAAATAACTGAAATATTGCAAAGAATAATATTTCAGAAAAATATTATATCTTAAAAAATAAATAAATTATTTAGAAAAATAATTTTAAATATAAATACAACATGTATAATGTATGGAGAGATGAAACTATATCCTATTTATTAATATTTCACTATTAAATAATTAAAATAACTACAATTTTTATTTTTATAAAATTACAAAAATATTTATACATAATTTTTTCTACTAACATTTGTTTTTGAAAATATTGTTTTATAATTTGAAAAAAAAAAATCATTTTATATTTCGCTTTCTTTTATATATTATATAATTTTTAACATATAACATATATAACTATAGATTTATACATATATACAATCTTTAGATTTGATTTAAGTAATGCTAATCAAATATATAAAAGTAATTTTATTAAATTAAATATGAACATAATATTCTCATCAAAATAAAAATAATCTAATCTTAAAAAATCTTAATTCAAAAATTCATAAAATGAAAAAAATAACAAAAGATTTTATAGATTTATGAGGTATATATCTGTATATGTAATTTAATTATTATATTTCATTAATAAATCTTTGTGTAAATTAAAAAAAAATATTTTTTTTACATTATATATTATTTAGGTTTTTCTCCAAAATTAAAAAAAATAAAAAATGATTTGATATTTATTAATTTATGTATATAATATTGTATATATTTTGT